ATATATTCATTTTGTTATAAGCTGAATAATATCTAAAATAATATATTTACATGTGCATGCAAATTAATAAATTCAAGTGTAATTATCACTATTAATTCTAAATTAACCATAATTTCAAAAGCTTCAAACTTAAAAATCATGATTAGAATATGTTAAAGGATCCAAATATGATATAAATTAAATATGATATATACATATTAATTTCTTGCATAGATGTTGCATTAAATATGAGTTTGATTGGTTAGAAGAAGGGTATAAAAATATTGATTTTAGTATAATTTTTATATCTATAGTTAAGTTATATATCTTGCATTATTATAAAATATCTTTTCTGAATTATGTTTAAAATTTATAAGTATTTAATTATTTTTAAAAAAAATTGGAGCATCAAAATCTTTTTATTCATTAATAAAGTATGTACAAGCATGGGCCAATCCAAAATTAGGATTAACCCAAAAAGAAATAGCCCAACCCATTAAAATGAACCTTTTAGATATTTATAAAGAAACCCTAAAAATAAGGGTTCATAAATTTGTGCTCCTCATCCTTTTCCTTCATATTGCTGCTTGGAGCTTTGTGGAATTCCACCTTCTTCCACCATTTGTTGTGGGTCCTTAACCCTTTTTTCTTGTTCTTTCTAATATCAATCTTGCTTAGCTTGTAGAGGTATGTTTTTGTATTTTGTTCTTCATTTCTTTCCCTCAATTTTCGACTTTCTCCATTTCAATGATGGAGACTTAATTTGGTGATGTAGTGGTTGCCTAAGATAGTTCTTGTAAAGGTGCCTAGTCTTGTGGTCTGACTCTCAATTCCTTATAAGTAGCTAATGTTATCTTTTTCCCTTGTTTGTTGTCATTCCTAATCACATTTCTAGATCTGAGCAGGGCCAGGCGAGTGTCATTTTTTCAAAAAAATAAAATAAAAACGCTTTGATGTCTTTATCATCTAATTCTAACCAATAAACTTCTTTTTGTCAGGAGAGAGATATTTTGGTTGGATATGTTCCTCTAGTGAAACTTAATGTTGCATTTTCTATGTGGAATCCAGAAAAGAGTTGGTTGTTGATTCTTCAGGTTTTTCCTTTCTGATGACATTCTATAAAGTGACTCATTTTTTTATAACTAAAGAAGTAACAGTGAGTTTTGAATAATTGAAAAGAAATCTTCAGTTGTGTATGAATATTTAGCCAAATTGCTTCTTGTTTCAAATCTTCTGAAACTCCCCCATTTTCATGATATATACTACTTTTAATATCATGTAATAATGAAATTGTGTTCCTCTATGTTTTCATTCTGCTTCATTTCTCTAGGTTGTATTCTCAAATTAGGTATTATCGGCTTTTCTAAGTTAATAGTGTTTCTTTTGTTGCTTGGAAGTTTACGGAAGGTTCCTCTATGTTTTCATTCTGCTTCATTTCATGTTCGATATTAGTATAATATTCATGATTTATTATTTTTTCATCATATATACTTACCATATATGTCATGGTGAAGATTACTAGAGGAGTTTCATCCTATAAGAAACTTTGACTCCTCTTTGGACTTTACTTTTACTCTTATTTTACTTCTTCATTTAAGTTGTTTCTTTTTTTACACTTTTATTTATAAATTTATTAGTTTTTTCTTTGCTGCAATCTCTCATATCTATACAGGTTGTCTGCATTCATGTGTGTGGATTTGATTAACCTAATTGATTATATATAAGATGAACCACGTTAAGTTTATTAATCATCTATATGTTCACCTATTTCTAAACAATTTCTCCCTTTTTGATGACAATAAACAATGCAACATAGTTTACTTTGTAAAACATCAAAATACTTTGTCAATCATCAAAACTACATACTATTGTTACATTTTTTATAGGACTAAACTGTTAAAGTCACCTTTGGTAGGAAAAGCTTCATACCAAAGTGACACTTCTCTATATGAATCTTGGTTAATCAGCCCGTATCATTTTCATCACATTCATATTCACATCTATTTAAAGAGGAAATGGTTGCAAATTCAAAAAATTATCCTACTTTGCTGGACCCCAAAACTTAAAACATGTTCAACTAGACATACTTACATAATATTATTTATTATTATCATTTCATGTTTTACTTTTCTCTTTCATTTACATAAAATAGTAGCAGTTGAGTGGTGGATTCAATCACTTGGACAGCTTCATTATTGA